ATCCCCCATCTCTGCATCCCTTTTACAAGGACCAGCTTTGGAAATGCCCTGATTTTTCTCTGTTCCACAAATCCCAACTGCAGGGTCCATAGACTATTTAACCTCCTTTAAAAATCACTGTCTTCTGTGAAATAGAGATTGAGAGATACTTGCTTCAGGTTATGCTGAAATCCAAGTCCCCTTCTATTTTTGGTAGATAAAGTAAACGTGGAAAAATGTTCATTCATTCATGAATGCATTCATTGAGTTGGCAGCATGCCAGATGGGTGAAATATAAGGTAAACATTGCCTATGGGAGTACAAGGATGGGTGGGGTCCCTGTGGCCACAGAATAGATACTATGGCATTAGAGAGGCCGATCGTGAAACAGATAAGCAAAGTAATGGAATAATGACAGATGCAGTGATTAATAGGAAGGGAACATTCAAGATGCAGTGTTTGGGAATAAGTGGGCAGGGGTGGACTTGCTTGAAACAGGTTCATAAGGGAAGACTTCTCTGAGCAAGTGATACTTAAGATCAGAAAGACAAATGAGAAGTAGCCACAACATGCAAAAACATATGAGTAAAATGCTATCTAAATAATAAAGCACAAGTCAATATTGACCAGGAATAAAGGTAAACACTTAGACACTCTTTTCCTATCCCTATAGAAAGCCAGTGAGGAAGTCATGAAATCTTGGGGTATTTACCATGCCATGCATGTATGGGACACTCCGCTTTTAAGAAACCCATGTTGTCCTTGTATATAAAGGCACAAATGGGTCTGTTGGGAGATATTACACCAGGGTTTGGTCAAAACCATCTATGAAGAGTGAGATAGTAAACATTTTAGGCTTTGTGGGCCATATGGTCTGTTGCAGCCACTCAACTCCACCACTGCAGCATGAAAGCTGCCATAAACAATGGATAAATGAAGGAGCATGCCTCTGTTCACTAACGTTTACTTATGGATGCTGAAACATGAATTTTCATGTGTCAAATCTGATTCTTTTGATACTTTTTCAGCCATTCTAAATGTCCATCAACAGAGGAATGGATAAAGATGTGGTACACACACACACACACACACACACACACACACACTGGAATATTACTCAGCCATAAAAAAGAACAAAATAATGCCATGTGCAGCAACATGAATGGATCTAGAAAGTGTCATACTGAGTGAAGTAAGGCAAACAGAGAAAGACAAATATCATATGATATCGCTTATATATGGAATCTAAAAAAATGGTACAAATGAACTTATTTACAAAATAGGAATAGAGTTACAGCTATAGAAAACAATCTTATGGTTTCCGGGGGATAAGGGGATGGGAGAGGGCTAAACTGGGAGATTGGGATTGACATACACACACTACTATATATAAAATAGATGACTAATAAGGACCTACTTTATAGCACAGGGAACTCTACTCAATATTCTGTAATGAGCTATATGGGGAAAGAATCTAAAAAAAGAGTGGATATATGTATATGTATAACTGATTCACTTTGCTGTACACCTGAAACTAACGCAACATTGTAAATCAACTATACTCCAATAAAAATGATAGAAAAATCTATTCTTAGTTTGCAGACTTACAAAAACAGGCAGTGGGCTGTATTTGATCTGCAGGCTATAGTCTGGTGACCCTTACTCTTCAGCAAGGTGGTTAAAAGTACAAACTCTTTAAAAAAAAAAAAAAGTGCAGATTCTTAATCAGACTGTCAGGTTTGTTTCCAAACTACTCCATTTGCCAGTGGTACATTTTCATGTCCAGGTCAAAGAAAAATTTACTTTGATCCTGCTTTGTTCTCTTATCTTTCTATCCTTTTCTTAGGCAAACTTCTTAAAAGAGTAATCTGTACTCCCTCTCTGCAGCAAATTGTGTTTTACAAAAAAGGCTTCAATAATGCTTCTTGTCTCTGATGCTCTTCCAGAACCATGCCCCCTCCCTTAACCCCCATCAAGAAGTAGTATTTGTGTTCCCTCCCCTTGAAACTGGACAGACCTTTGTGAATACTTCAACTAACAGAATGGTGATGCTACGAGACTTACAAGCTGGATCATAAAAGGTAATATAGCTTCTGCCTGCCTTGTTTAGGACCTGTGCCTATGGACCCAGGAACTGCCATGTAAGAAGTCTGTAATGACTGTTATTTCATCTTAAAGGCTTCATTAGAGAAGTCTCCGAAGCAGATGTGGACACAGGCAAAGAAAGAGCTGTCTATGTGTATTGTGTGACTGGAGTATAAGGCATGTGGGGCAGAGTGTTGGCCAGTGATGTCAGCAGAAGCCATTTCATAGAAGACTTAATTATAGGTTTAGGATGTTAGACTGGACCTTAAGGGCAATATGTGGCCATTCTTTAATGGCCGTATATTTCTGTTTCAGAGGGACCACTCTGATTGCAATAGTAAGGCTGGATTAGAAGGAAGAAACAATGGTTTTGAGAGACCTGCTGAGAAGAAGCCCCTGGTATAGTCTGAATGATGAGGACTTAAAGAAGGGCAGTGGTAATGGACATGCATAAGGGAATAGGATCAAGAGAGATTCCAGAGACCAACTGGGAAGAACACTGCCTATCTAGCTAATGGACAGAAATCAAAACAATTGGTATTTTAGTATCTTCCACTACTGTCATGTTAATAGAATAGATCCCTCTTTTATATAGCTAAGCCTCCTAGCCTTTCTCTTTCATGACTTTTTTCTCCTGTCAATACGCAGTATGGTTCCCATGTGGGTGGTTCATCTCTCTTCTCTGTAGCAGACGATGGGGAACCGCTCCTTGAATGCAAGATGCCACAGATAAGCTCAAAGCTGGCCTGATATGGTGAAAGGGCTTCTGGGCTCCCCCTGTGTAGCACCTGCCTCTGTAGGCTACAGATCTGGTCCCCTGAAAATACCCTGGGAACCCAGTCCTGAAGCATCCTCCCAGCTGCTATCTTGGCACAATCACTGTGTTCTGGGTTTTTAATCTGGGAGATTAAATCTTTACATGCCTGAGTGGAAAGATCATATCCTTGTAATTTTTCACCTATATAATTTCTCAGATGCCGTAGTTTAAACTGTTGTATTTATGGCCCAACTGTAACTTAGAAGTCTTGTAAAATGACAATTTCAAAGGACAGCTCTTTCAAGTTGCCACTCAGAGCAGCTTTCTGAGTGAGCGTAGTGAACTGTGGTAAAGCTGATCATTTCAGTCAATTAGATTTTTAGGCTAGTCACTTTTTACTGTTCTGAAAGAGAGAACGAAAGCATTTGAAAGCTAGAATCAATTACTGTCTAAATGTAGATCAAGGAGGAAGATACACAAAAAACCATAGTTATAGTTTTTTTTGGTAGAGATGAACCTTGTAAAGGTCACTGGAGTTCTATTATGGAATGTTCATTTTACATGAAGTAGAAGTCACTGTTAAAAAAAAAAAAATGCCTAACAAGACCCTTTGAATAGAAACTGGGGACAGAGAATTAAAAGGTTGTTATGGGAGAACAGAAATGCTCCAGCTAGGAAAGGGAGGGGCTTGTGAAATGAATACCTAAGCAGACACAATCAGGTACGGTATTCTTATAAAGACTTTATTGATTGTTGATTCAGAAAGCTCTAAGTCTTATATAGTAGATATTCTGTGATTGTTCATTTCTTTCATCCATACCCAAGACTGGATTACAATGTTTAGAGATTGTAAAAATGTCTAGTAAGAGATTGTGCTCTCTCTTTAGGTAACTGAAAAATCAAAGCATCACTAATAGTAAAGTAAGGTTAATAGTAAAGTAAGGTTCATAGTAAAGTAAGGTTAAAGATAACATCAGAAATACTCTCATCTTATATACTTTGCAATTTCAAATTTTAAAAAGTCTTTCAAAATATTTTCTCACATTAAAAACAAATGTCCTAGGGATGGTAAAAAGAGGATGTAGGTCAGAATTGGATTGGGGCCATCCAGCAGCACTAGTTTTTTGTTGTTGTTGTTGTTTTTTAACATCTTCATTGGAGTCTAATTGCTTTACAATGGTGTGTTAGTTTCTGCTGTACAACAGTGAATCAGCTATACGTATACATATATCCCCATATCTCCTCCTTCTTGCGACTCCCTCCCACCCTCCCTATCCCACCCCTCTAGGTGGTCGCAAAGCACCGAGCTGGTCTCCCTGGGCTATGCAGCTGCTTCCCACTAGCTATCAATTTTACATTTGGTAGTGTGTATATGTCCATGCCACTCTCTCACTTCGTCGCAGCTTACCCTTCCCCCTCCCTGTGTCCTCAAGTCCATTCCCTAGGTCTGTGTCTTTATTCCTGTCCCAGCAGCACTAGTTATGATGGTATTTTTAACTGCCCAAGAATGCTCTGCTTTTAAACACACTCTTGAGACTTGAGACATTGTTTAGCTGACACCTTTTCCATTAAGCTATCTATGACCAGTTCAGACCATTACCATAACCTCCTGCCCTGGCCTTCTATAGCAGTCGTCTACACCATTTACTTAAAGCCCTCTTTTAAATACCAATACTGCTTGTATGATCTAGCAGAAGGAGAACCAGATTTCAATAAGCAGGTCTGGATTCTGCTTCTCTTATCACCATTTATAGACAAGCATATTTTGGTAAGTATATCGGCCCAGGGAACATTGGGAAAACTGTCCACACTAGGAAGATAAATAGAGGCAATTTAATACACAGGTATGGAGAAGTTGTTAAGACAAACAGGAGATGGTGAGACAGCCAAAGAGTAGTAGCAGCACAAGGCTACTGGCAACAAGGGGCTTGGAGGGCACAGGGAGATGCTGGTATATCAGAGCACAGAAGGTGAAGCAGTCAGGCAGGAGCTAAACTATGGTGGGGCTACCATGTAGGAGATTGAACCCAAGAGGAAGGGTCTGTCTGGAAAGCATTTGGAACTAACTTCAGAGGAGATGTAGCTATAATATACTATCAGAATCACTGCCTGAAACATAGCAAGAGGGGAGAAAAATCCCTGCCTTCTCCCCACTGCCACCTTTTCATTTTTCCACCAGTGTCACCCAATGGCCACATCTACCTGGAAGCCAGTTGACAAGGGCACCTCAAAAATGTAACCCCCAGTGCTACAGAGCAGTGGGTGGAGCCAGGGGATGGATTTGAGAACATTGCATATTGCTGGCGCAGTAAGTCATTCAACTTGTGAACTGTTGTACCTTCCTCTGTCAAATTTTAAAGCAATGCCTCTCTAACCCACTTTTTTAGAGTATATGAGCGTATTTTAATTTGTTAGGGGGGTAAAAATGGAAACTTCGAGGATACTTTGGATAAATATGTTAAAGATTTAAAACATTAGGTAATGGAATTTCCACTTCTAGGGAAATAGAAAGTCACAGATACGCATACAGATGTAGGTACAAACATGTATATCTCAATATTTATAATACTGAAAGTTAGAAGCAACCTAAAATAGATGTGATATTTTCAGGGCTTTAAAATATAAAGGACAATTTCTGCCTTCAAGGATATCTTATTCATTAAAGGCAGCTTGCACTAAGGTTCATGAAAATAGGATGAAATGCTATGGAGATCCAGGGGTGAGAAGACAGTGAATATTTGCCTTGTTTCGGCTTCTAGACAAGTGAATAGAGTGTGCATATTATATGGAATATAGAAATGCTAGGAGGAATTTTTAAAATATCTGTATCCAAATAGGAAAATTCTTCCAGATGAAAACAATAAATTAATCTGCTTTCAAATTTTCCAAGATCACACAGAAAAGAAATAGTGGGGTTAGGTTAGAAGCCTAGGTAGAGTAGCAGGTGGTGACATGAACATAATTAGAATCCAAGTGCCCTGTGAGTTCATTCCAGTTCTGGTTCTGATTCCAGTGGTGACCCTGTCCAGGCCTCCACTCCAATTTTCTGATGCAAATAATGAAAACCAGAGCCAGCGCACATACAGTGTTGCTGAGCATTTTGCAAACGAATGAACCAGCTTGCTCACCCCACTGACAACTGTCAGCATATAGTCAGACGCCACCATATTGGAATCATGCTTCACACTTCCCTCACCAGTTAAAGTTAGATGCTTTGCACTTAAGACATCTTCTTTGTCTACCCCAAAGTGCCCTAAGCTTTACCTTTCTTCATACAAAATGTATTGTCCTCGGAAAAGGTCAGAACAAATTTTGAATTCTAGCTTCATGGCTTTTGTTTGATCCTGTGCAATTAACTTAATCTCCCTAATTAAGGAACATGAATAACACAAGTGAGGAGCTTAGTATAGGTTTTAGGCCATAAGTAGGTGTTTAATAAATTTTTGTATTTTTTTAACCTTGCTCCTATTCCTTCAATATGCCCTTGGGCCCTGAACAAAGGTACGATTTACCTTACCTACAAAATATCTCATTTGTTCACCCCTTCATGTCTTTGCTCAAACTATTTTCTTTGCTTGGGATGTCCATTTCTGTCCTTCATGGGCAGTTCAGGTGTGAAGTTAACTGAAATGGGAAAGACGTTTAAAAAAATATCCAAGACCACTTTTTCTGAACCCGAAGGTGCCAAATCCTTTCACCTTTGAACTGTTATCTTTTTAATTTGCATTTGTCTTACCCTCCATCTTCAGTGTCTCATCTATCTCTCTAAGACCAAATAAAAAACAATGCTTATACAGAAAGAGAATAGACCTTACAATTAGACAGACATACCTGGGTTCAGATTGCAACACAGAGTAAGTGTTTGAGACATTTTTGCTACATGCTGTTGAAAGGAAAGTTTCCCTTTCAGCAGGTTGGGACCATTAGCAGGAATGAAAGAAATATCCTAGACAAAGGGAGAACTATTCCAACGCCAGGCTCAAGCTGGAATGTTTTCTAGTCAATTCCCTTTTCTTGCTTAGCAAGCACCAAGCTTCCTGTTTCTGGTTTGGACCTGAAGTGGAGGTTCCCAAATACCAACAGGAAGGTCATACTTGTGGTCTCCCTCCCTTGCTGAAACCTGAAGCGCTGGAATTCCATGTGGGTGTCATTTTCTCAAGAGATTTCCAGCTCCAATTCCCAGACCAGAGTTAGAGGCCACTGTATGCTATTAGATCCCTAACCATTCTTCCTCTTTTTACTTTTCTAAGATTCCATTATTATCTTGCCAAGTATGGGCTCAGTAATTAAGAAGAGGTCCTGTGGGGAGTGGTGGGATTTTTAAACATAGGATAGAATCTCAACTTGAGTTGTGTTAGCAGGCGATGGAAAGGGCAGGATTCATCCATCCACCCGTTCACAAATATTGAATACTCATGATAGCTAGTCATCGACCTCAAAGGGGAGTCTCTTCTAGAATCCACCTCTATGAGCTGTAGGCAGTCAAACATTCAGATGGGTAAATTGGATTATTACATGAATTCATTAGTTCCACAATGTTTATAAAGACCTTGTGCCTACCAAGTGACTATGGTAGTCCCTGGTGTTACAAAGAGGAGAACTCGTTGAGTGCTGACCATACTCTGTATGCTTTTGCATATGTGGTCTTGGTTAATTTTCATAACAATCCCATGGATAGAATCACCTTAAAAGTAAAGTTTGGAGAGGTTTTCCAACTTTCACAGAAAACGTAGTCAGATCCAAGATTTAAGTCATTACTTGAACATTTGTCTACTGATGGATATTTGGATGGTTTCCATTTTGGGGCTATTATAAAACGTAACGTTATTACTCTTGTTCCTGTCTTTTGTGTGCACATCCAACATCTATTTCATATATACCTAGGAGTAGAATTGCTGGGTCATAGGATATGCATATATTAAGCTATATTACACATTACCAGTTGATAGTTTTTCTCTACATCATTTTTTGTAATAGAATTTGCTGCATCAATTCATATTTCACAAGGACAGGCATAACAATATCTCCCATCCCACATGCTTCTTTTTCTACTATAACCTTGAATGCTTTCTCCAGCAAGCAGTGGATTCTAGCTCCTTCCCCTTGAACCTGAATGGACCTCTGTGGCTCCCTAGACAAGGACTGTTCAACAGAACATTTCCATAATTGCAGAATGTTCTATCTGTGTTGTCTAATACAGTAACTCTAGCCACACTGGATACTTGAAATGTAGCTAGGATGACTGTAGAACTGAATTTTAATCTTAATTAAAGATAAGTCGACATGTGTTTAGTGGCTATTGCACTGGAAAATGCAGGCTTAGACCAATAGAATATGGTGGAATTGTTGCTATGTGATTTCTGAAGTTAGATCACTACAATGCCATACACTCTTATTCTCTTAGAACACAGCCACTATGTTGTAAGGACTCCCAATTAATTGGGAATGTCAAGCTGACTGAAAAAAAGCTAGGATTTTTTTTTTTTTTCACACAGAGAAAAACCTAGGATTACTGATCATAGGCACAGCTGAACTCCCTAGTAGCAGTCAAACCCAGCTTACCATCTGTGTGAGTGAGCCATCCTGAAAATGGGATTGTCAGCTCCCAGGTTAGCTGTTCTAGCTGATGCTGAAGAGTACAAAGAAGCCATCCCTGCTGGTCCCTGCCTAAAGTGCAGATTCATAAGCAAATACATGTTTTTGATTCTTTTAAGCCACAAGTATAAACAGCGTATTAAGCTAGATGTCTAGTCAGATTGTGACTCTTGTTATATGCATTTTAGATCTTTGTACTAGATTCTTCACGTCTCTCATCTTTAACCATCTATTCTCTTTACAGTATCCTGAATTCTGAAGTGGTGATATCAGAATTTACCCCTAGAACAATGGAATCTTTAGCTCTTCCTTATAGTGTACTGATACTCCAAGTCCTTTGATCATTTTGCTAATCTTCTGTGAATTCAGCAATGACTTAGAAATGATGGTTTATCCAGGACCTACTTCTGTAAAGCAGGGGAGCACTTTCAATGACCTAGTCTTTTCTACCTCCAGAGCAAGAAACATCAACAACCAAAAAAAAACAACAAGGAAAAATCAAAGACATAAATATAATTTCCTGAGTTGAAAAAAAAAAAACCCAGAATATAGAGACTGAAATATCACCATATACCATATTCTATATACAATTAAGAAACTAGATACTGAACACATTTTGTGAAATTTTAGAACGGTAAAGATAATGAAAATAATTCTTAGTGTCTAATGTAGTGAGTAGTGGGTCAGGAAGAAACAGTTTTTCTCCAGAGGAACATAAGTAAGCCTGACTAGGACTTCCAGAAAATCATGGAATCATGAAGAATGAACTTTATGATTCAAAAACTATTATCAAACCAATATGGTAGAGAGAATGTGTGTGTGTTAAAGCAACAGGAAGACATTCTCAGATATCTACAGATTCAGAAAGTAGATCTCATAAGGAATATGTCTAAAAATATATTTTTAAATACTTCACTAAATACATAGGATTTATCTTGATGTCCCATAGACCCATGTTTAAGAAACTGCTCTGCTACTTTCTAGTTGAGAGACATTAAGTCTCTCCATTTTCTCATCAATTTCCAGGTTGATGCTGCTCTTATGCTTTAATTAGTCATGTATGGTCCATGGGGCTAAAGTCGTTGATGATAAAGGGAACGTTGGATGCCTTGTTGTATTCTACAACATGTGCTTAGTGCTCAGGACATCATAAGTGGTAAATGAACATAAGATGAATGACAGATTATATGAATTATTACCAATACAACTACCTGCTTGAAACATGTATGCTAGAACTCAGAAAAAGAAAAATTATCAAGTCTTTGAAAAATATATTGAGATAGATATAATACTGAGTCAAAGAAGAAGACAGAAATATAAAAATAAGACACTAGAATAAACAAACAACCATGTATACTGAGGAGATAAATATGAGGATCACTTTGCTTAATCTTTTGCAAATTAATTTGAAATCTTGAGTAAGAAGCATAATATTCTAGAAAATATATATAATGCAAAAAAAGATATTAAGAAACTTGTCAAAAGCTATCTCAAAAAAGCATCAGCATCAATTTATTTCAGAAGTAAATTTTACGAAGTATCTAAGGAATGCAATTTGAAAGCATAAAGAAGGTGAAAGTTTCTAACGGGTTTTTACAAATATAGGAAAACATTGGTAGAAACCTTAATAAAGGCAACATAATAAAATGAAACTACAGCTGGATTTCTCTAATGGACACTGATGCACAATTCCTAAAATGTGTTAGCAAATAGAATTCAGCAGCTTATTAAAAGATTGAGAGATACTCTCCTGGAGTGATTCATTCAATAAATTCAATATATCAATATGTTTTCCATGTTAATTACAGGTCAAGGTAGAGAAACATTGTGTTTGATTATGCTGACAAAGTGCTTGATAAAAAGTCAATATTAACAAGTTTAATAAGTAGGAATATATAATACTTAAGTAGCAATATGCCTAATAGTGAAACACAAAAATGTTCCCATTAAATTAAAACGTAAAACAAGGATGTTGATTATCACTCCTATTACCTAAACTTCTGTGGGAAATTCATTCCAATGACCTGAAGAATGATAAATATGAGGTACAAAAGTTCTAACATAGAAGGAAAAATTTAATTTATAAATACATAGATAATTGCATAAACCTGGAAAACCCAAAATCAACTGGGAACATTGTTACAAATAATGGAAAAATTTAGTAAGGAGAATTTAAGAATTGATATCTAAAACCCCGTTGGCTTTACTATGTTCAAATAGGATGTACTTAAAGAAATTCAGTTAAACAAAAATTACAAAATAAATGCCCAGAAATAGAGGTAAGTAGAAATGTGCTAGATTTATATGAATAAACTTTAAAATGCTCTAATAGGACATAGAACTTGAAAAAACTTTAAAGTGGTCCAAGAAACATAAAATACAATTTAATTAATGGGGATTAATGCCCAGTTCTATTTAAGGTAATGCAATATTGTAAAGATGCTAATTTACCCTGTGTTAATCTATAAATTGTATGTGATCCCAATAAAATTACCAATAGAATTGTTTTTATAAAAGTAAACATAAATCTATAGTCAAGTAACTATTAGGCAGACAAATTTTGAAAAAGGGAACAAACTACATTTTTACACATTATAAAACTTCCATAAATAAAAGTTTGGTACTTGTGCATTGTATAGAAATAAAGGAAAGAAGCAGAGTCTTGACTGAGACTCAAATCATGTGGATATTTAGATTATGATCATCTAAATCAAATCTGTGTTAAAGGCAGAATAATCAATAAATGATGGTGGGACAACCTACTAAGAAAAGAATAAATTATCACATACAAAATTTATCACTTTTCTGAGAAAGATAAATGGAACCGGAGGAATCAGGCTCCCTGACTTCAGACTATACTATGAAGCTACAGTAAGCAAAATAGGGTGGTACTGGCACAAAAACAGAAATATAGATCAATGGAACACGATAGAAAGCCCAGAGATAAACCCACACACCTATGGTCAACTAATTTATGACAAAGGAGGCAAGAATATACAATGGAGAATAGACAGTCTCTTCAATAAGTGGTGCTGGGAAAACTGGACAGCTACACATAGAAGAATGAAACTAGAGCATTCTCTAATACCATACACAAAAAGAAACTCAGAATGGATTAAAGAGCTAAATGTAAGAGTGGACAGTATAAAATTTTAGAGGAAAACCGGTAGAACATTCTCTGACATAAATCACAGCAATATCTTTCTGGATCCACCTCCTAATGAAAATAAAAACAACAGTAAACAAATGGACCTAATTAAACTTAAAAGTTCTGCACAGCAAAGGAAACCATCAACAAAATGAAAAGATGACCCACAGAATGGGAGAAAATATTTGCAGATGAAGCAACCAACAAGGGATTAGTCTCCAAAATATACAAACAGCTCATGCAGTTCTATATAGAAAAAAATAAAAAGTAATCCCAATCAAAAAATGGGCAGAAGATCTAAATAGACATTTCTCCAAAGAAGACATACAGATGGCCAAAAGCACATGAAAAGATGTTCAACATCACTAATTATCATTGAAATGCAAATCAAAACTACAATGAAGTATCACCTCACACGGGTCAGAATGGCCATCATCAAAAAGTCTACAAAAAATAAATGCTGGAGAGGGTATGGAGAAAAGAGAACCCTCCTACACTGCTGGTAGGAATATAAATTGGTACAACCATTATGAAGAACAGTATGGAAGTTTCTTAAAAAACTAAAAAGAGAACTACCATGTGATCCAGCAATACTACTCCTGGGCATATGTCCAGAGAAAACCATAATTTGAAAAGATACATGCACCCCAATGTTCATTTCAGCACTATTTACCATAGCCAAGACATGGAAGCAACCGAAATGTCCATTGACAGAGGAATGGATAAAGAAGATATGATACATATATACAATGGAATATTACTTGGCCATCAAAAAGAATGAAATAATGCCATTTGCAGCAACATGGATGGACCTAGAGATTATCATACTAAGTGAGGTAAGTCAGACGGAGAAAGACAAATATCATATGATATCACTTATATGTGGAATCTAAAAAAAATGATACAAATGAACTCATTTACAAAACAGAAACAGACTCTGACTTCAAAAACAAACTTATGGTTACCAAAGGGGAAAAGTGGGGGGAGGGATAAATTAGAAGCTTGGGATTAACATACACACTGCTATATATAAAATAGATAATCAACAGGGACCTACAATATAGCACAGGGAACTCTATTCAATATTCTATAATAACCTATATGGGAAAAGAATTGGAAAAAGAATGGATATATGTGTATATATAACTGAATCACTTTGCTGTACACCTAAAACTAACACAACATTGTAAATCAACTGTACTCTAATATTAAATAAAAATTAAATTTGAAAAACCCAAAATTTATCACTTATACAAATTTACCACTAATTTAATTAGTGATACTAATGTATCACATACAAAAATTTTGATCTAGATGGATGAAAATTCAAAATTAAGATGAAAATAGATTTTTTTCTTGTACACTTGCAGCAGTCACCTTTTTCTAAGCAAGGTATATAATTCAGAACTCACATAACATTGAATATAACTTCATAAAAATTTAAATTTCTACTTGTGAAAAATACTATAAATAAAATCAGTACAATATAAACAACTTGGGAAATATATGCAGCAATTATGATAGATGAATATGAATAAGGTTCTTAAATAAAATTTTCTTACAAATCAATTAACAAAAGACACTAGCTCAATATAAATATGGACAAAGGCACAAATGTTCAATAGAAAAATAAACACAAATTCTTTTAACATAAAGCTGTTTAACTTCCCTCAAAATTAGAGAAGTATAATAAAACAAGAATGTTTATAGAGTGGACATAACGAAATATTTCTGGCGCTGATGAGACTATGTTAAACAACCATCCTCTCTCCCACACTTGGTGGGAGCATCAATTAACATAATCTTATTGGTGGGCAATTTGGCAGCATTTCCGAATATCCTAAAAACATAATTTCTTTTGAAGTGCATACATCATCTAACAATTTTGCTTTCATCCTTCAGGCAACCAGCACGTATACAAAAGAATTATATACCATGACTTTTGTGGCCATGTCGGTTTTAAGAGCAAACATTTAGAAGGTAGGTGAATGTATGCCAATGGGGGATGGATGAAATGCTTTATGGACAGCACATCTATAATGCGGACAACTTTGGACATATTTGGAATAATCCCCACTACTGAAAAATCACAAGATTCAGGGCAGTGTGTTTCATTGGACGTAAAGAAAAAAAAAAGTGTATAAATATACATAATCCTATTGAAAAGAGTATCTTTTGATAGACACAAACAACTGGTAACTATCATTGCTCTAGAAAGGGGCTGAGTGTTGGATGCGAAGTCCATCATCACTCTACAGTCATTTTTATTGCTTGACATGTTTGCCACCACACATGCCCTGTAGTATTTTTTCTTCAAAACAAAAACTACTTAGTAAAAAAAAGTTCCACCTGCTCAAAAATATCTCCCAACTTCGACTGGCACACTATTAGAAATTCTATCAATAAGCCTTTGGGGAAATTCCCATCTCTGCTTCAAAGGCGATGTTAGAAAAATCCATGAAATCCCAGGCTCAGCACCTACTGGTGAATCTCACGTAGTAGCCACTTGATTTTTCCTGCTGTGTGTCCACACCTGAGCATGTCAGTAAGGAACACCCCCCACCCCCCATATAGAGCCTTCTCTGTGTTTTCTTTTATGGGGCTTATCCCTTTATATGCCCTAAAGATGCTCTGTGAATCTCTGATCAGCTTCATAGCCGACTTACCTCTCCAGCCCCCAGAGAATACCTCTTAATGTTCTTTTTACATTATAGACAGTCAATAAATATATTAATTAAAAATGTAAGTTAAAGGTTTGTTTTTGTTTTTTTTTTTTTTGCGGTACGAGGGCCTCTCACTGCTGTGGCCTCTCCCGTTGTGGAGCACAGGCTCCGGACGCGCAGGCTCAGCGGCCATGGCTCACGCGCCCAGCCGCTCCGCGGCATGTGGGATCTTCCCGGACCGGGGCACGAACCCGTGTCCGCTGCATCGGCAGGCAGACTCTCAACCACTGCGCCACCAGGGAAGCCCTAAAGGTTTATTTTTAAAATCGAATTCCATGTAGGGCATGAAAAATATTCTTGTAGCACTGCATAGCACTTACCATGAGCCAGGCAGTGTTCTAAACGCTTTACATATATAAAGTATATACAATATATATTATATAGTGATACTCTATACTTTATATATATTATATTATAACAGAGTATATATATTTACCCAGCTAGTATAAAGATAAGATTTGAGTCCATGCAGTCTGGCTCCACTGTACACAGGGAATGTTCTTAACCATGAGGCACCTTTTTTTCAGTGTCCATCACCCCTTCATGTCCACATTCCCTCTTTAACCACCCCAGATTCCATGACCCACCATTATATTCCTTCCTTTACAAAGAGTCTCATCTTTCTGGCCTCTCTTGCTCTCTGGGCAAAACCCTAGCCTGGTCAAGCCCAACCTGCTGTCTCTTCCACATCTACCCAGAAAAGCAAAAGGGGTGGCATAAATACACATAGCCCCACTCATGGATCACAATTTCCAATTATAACCCAGAATTCCAAGAGGACCTTTTTTTCTCCATCTTGCAATCCTACTCCATCCAAGTCTTGTCACTCTCCTATTCTCCTAGATGGCTGTATGCACCATTTTGCTCCTTATTCCCTTTTCCCCCAGCCTCCCTGGGGGCTGATGACTTTGCCTCTTATTCTCTAAGAAAATGTTCACAGGGGCTAGGTAGCTAACAAAAACCACAGAACTAGGAGTACTGCACAGTAGGGAGTGGTGGGGACAAAGTTGCCTGCCAAGTTCAAAGCCCCTGGGAATGGTTAAATGCTACTCAGCTCCAGTTTATCATGGCCATGAAGTGGGCCAGCCTGGTATAGTCAGAAGGTGTGACCTTTTCAAGAGAATTTGAAAGTGCATATCTTGATCTAAATTTTCCTGATGTTAAGTATCTTGTGAGAAAAAAAATGTTTCAGCAAAGCAGGGATGTACCTTGTAGACACCCCTTAGTTCATAACTCTGTAGAGGAACATGAATCAAGAGGAATCATTCAGTATTTTAACATAATTTCAAAGACAGCAAAACCAGATTTCTAAGAATAGTTTCAATTTGAGCTACCATTTATTCTCAAGGACTTTCTCTTTAAACTTCTAAGATCAGTTCAGGGTCCCAGAAGGAATTTAGGATTATTTGAGACTTGAATAAAGAGACTATTTTTAATGTTGCAGGTATAGAGAGACCATGGAGGACAGTGCCGTACCCTGGAGATAGTTGCACAGTCGTTCTTACACTGATTAGGTACATTACAGCACATCTATAAATTCGTGATTTTGTGAGCTGACACTTTTCTTCCAGGAACATAGCCAGTCTTGAAACTTAGGAGCAAGTTAAGAGAAAAATACTTCTTACCTCATTCTTCTCCCTCCCCCCAATGGCAAAACCCAACTTGAATCCAGAGGACAAGGCATACCACTGATGTGGTCCTTACATGTTGACCTACCAGGGCACAGAACAGGGTGGAGAAGGGTGGGGAGTGGGCTTGGGGAGGAAAATGGAAGATCAAGAAGAGACCCCACCGTAAGTCTTACAAAACAGCTACTATTGGGCTTCCCTGGTGGCACAGTGGTTAAGAATCCGCCTGCCAATGCAGGAGACACGGGTTCGGGCCCTGGTCTGGGAGGATCCCACATGCCGCGGAGCAACTAAGCCCGTGCGCCACAACTGCTGAGCCTGTGCTCTGGAGCCCGTGAGCCACAGCTGCTGAGCCCCCGAGCTGCAACTAATGAAGCCCACACATCTAGAG